TCCTCGGAAGCTGGAGACCTCCACTCCATCACAGCGGCTCTGTAGACCCTCTCCCCTCACTGAATGGGACTCCCAGGTCCTGCTCAGCTTTCCTGTTTCCAGGCCATTCTCCCTAACAGAGAAGATGGACGCGGACACGGAGCAGAGACGCTCTGCTTCCGTTCGGTCACCAATTAACACGGCACCATCCTCCTGGGCCAGCAGGAAACCTCCTGTATTTCTCCAGTCATGAATCTGTTTTTGGTTGGGGAAAAAATTTTCACGTGCAGAAAAGTACACAGAATGTCGTAACAAACACCCATGTATCCACCAGCTGGAAAGGATATATGTTAGCATTTGTCATATCTGCACCTAATTTTTTTTACATGTTTATTTTTGAGAGAGAGAGAGAGACAGACAGACAGACAAAGAGAGAGACAGAGAGAGAGAGAGAGAGGGATTGCAACAAGGAGGGACAGAGAGAGAGGGAGACACAGAATCCAAAGCAGTCTCCAGGCTCTGAGATGTCAGCACAGAGCCCGACGAGGGGCTCAAACCCATGAACCGTGAGATCATGACCCGAGCCGAAGACGGACACTTAGCCGACTGAGCCATCCAGGCACCCCTGCCCTAAGTTTTTAAATAAAACATTAAACCACACCGTTTTTATGTTTCTAAACTTACATAAATTCTGTATCTCCCCTACCCTTCTGCACTTGCTTTCCACACTGAACCTTACATTTTTGAGACCTCTTTGCACCGTTTATTTATTTTGTTTTCCTGTTGTTATATAATCTCTACACCCAACGCAAGGCTCAAACTCAACGACTGTGACATTAAGAGTCGCACGCTTTACCAACTGAGCCAGCCAGGTGCCTCTGTGCTAGTCACTTATTTATTTTATTTACTTTTATTTTTTTTAATTTTAGAGAGAGAGTGCACGAGTAGGGCAGAGGGGCAGAGGGGGAGAGAGAGAGAATTCCAGGCAGGATCCATGCTGCCTTGAGCCCAATGTGGGGCTCGATCCCACGACCCTGGGATCATGACGTGAGCTGAAATCAAGAGGCAGATGCTCAACCAACTGAGCCACCCAGGCACCCCTGGGCTGGTCACTTAAATGCCATATGGTAGCTTTAAGCACCCCCACTGCCCCCCCACTCCCCCGCCATGAGGCCTACAGGGGGTATCACACACATGGGAAACAAACAAAAGCCAGTCCCCTCCTTCAAGTTTCATGGTCTGGCCCTGCATCCTTTGCTACAGAGATTTCCAAATTTGAATTATTTGAGTACTAACGTCATTTTCTGCCGTACCTGTGAACCCTGTGTACTATATATTTTACGTTCTATTTGTTTCGTCTTTGTGATAATCAACTTCTAAACTTTACCTATGAAAATTCTTGTTTTTCCCATCTATAATAATCACAGAATGTCTGTTAATAATGCTTTGAGATGGGAGTTGGGCACCTGAGATTCATTAAATAACTCTTTTCAATTTTGGGTGTTTTTGAATACTTCCAAAATGAAATTAAAAAGACAAAACGCAGACAGCACCGCGCCCTCCCCACAGCTGTCTACCTGCTGGACCACTCCTCTTGGCTAGGATAGCACAATAATCTGTGTCTGCCTTTGTTCTCATTCCTCCGTGGTTTATTCTCAACCCCACGGGCAGAGCAAATACTGTTAAAATGTCCCTCATGAGCTCCAACCACCCCCCCATGAGAAATTTCTGTCTCCTCAGAGTCAAGCCCTCACTCCTTCCTTCGACGTACTCACCCTGCATAACCCACACCATCACCTACCTCCTTGACCTCGCCTTCCCTAACTCACTCTGCTCCAGTCACCCAGGCCTCCTTGCTTCTCCTTGAACATGCTGGATGCAACCCACCTCAGGGCCTTTGCACACGCTGGTCCCACTGCCTAGAAAGCTCTTTCCTGACGTCCAATGGCTCCCCCCTCCTTCAGTTCTTTGTTCCAACGTCACTTTCTTAGCGAGCTCCTCTCTGACCACCCAAGGCCTGTAATAACCACCGCACGCCCACCCCTTCACACTTTCCCCTCCTGGCTTGTTCTCCCCCGACTGCATTTACCACCATCTGACTTCCTATTTTACCTATCGATTTCTTTACTCTTTGTCTCCCTACACTAGCAGCACAGGGACCTTGGTGTTTGGTATACATACGTCTCTGTCCCCAGCACCTCCTGGTACATAGTAGGTGCTCAATAAATACTTGTTGAACAAACGAACACATTAATTCACATGGGGGTTCCTGGGAACAATGCAGAGGCCAGACAATGTAAACCAAGGCCTACTTCAAGTTTCCAGAAAAAAATCTGGCCTGTACAGGGAGTCAGGCATACCCTGGGTTTTCTCTAAGTCAATAGCAAGGAAAGCCTGGGGGCTTCCTGGCCCACCCCTCCCAGTACGCCCCGGGGAGGTGGGGCCCTAGCCCGTTTCTTACCAGTCAGCATCTCCATCCCATAACCAGAATCTTCCGAGGGCAGATGCCCAGGCATTGAGTCTGTCATTTCCTCCGAGGTTGGCGAAGGGTCTGGAAAGTGACAACAGCATCTTCTGTCTACCCTACCCTGTCACGGTCCCCCAGGGGCCCACCCCCAGAGCAGGACCCTTAAGGAAGCCGTGTCCTAGAAGTCTGGGAGGACAGCTTTAGTGACCAGTTCTGCCAGAGGCGAGGCAGGTGCCTGAGGGGTGTGGGACCCCACGCTGAGCCTCCAGAGACCAAATACGCTCTCTTCTTCACAGATGTGGAAACTGAGGCACAGGGGGTTCTAAGTCTGGAATCAAACGCAGGCCCTCTTATTCCTATACCTTTTCTTCTCCTCCCTCCTGCCTACAAACCCCAGGGGAGTCAGGCCTGAGCAGGAAGGTTGGGGGGGGGG